CTCTCTCTCTCTCTCTCTCTCTCTCTCTCTCTCTCTCTCTCTCTCTCTCTCTCTCTCTCTCTCTCTCTCTCTCTCTCTGTGTGTGTGTGTGTGAATTTGAGCATTCAATTAGACAGGATAAAGCCACAACGAGCCAATGAACAAGCGTGGCTGAGCTTCTCTCCCTGAAAGTGTTACGAGTACCGCATTTGATCAGGAAAGGGAATCTCAGGGGGGACTTGGCATTTGATAAGGAGAGGGAATCTCAGGGAGAGGCCCCACAGAAGGAGATTCTCTGGGCCAGGTGCAACTGGTGGTGGTGGTGGTGGTGGTGCTATGTTCATGCTATGAAAGGACTAACCTGGTCATGATTATGATCAGGTCCGTTCTTTCTGTGCATGAACATTGCAACACCAGCGGTTGTGCCTGGCCCTCGTTGCCCTGAGTAAATGATCACAAACCAATCTATAGGTACTTGGCATTTACTTAGCAAGGGAATCTGAGGGTCAGGCCCCACAGAGAAGGGGAATCTCTGGGCCAGGCCCGTCTGGTCGTGGCGGTGCAATATTCATGGTATCGAAGGAACAACCTGGTCGTGATTATGGCCGGGTTCCTTCTTTCTGGGCATGAACATATACTGCCACCGGTTTGTGTGTGCCCCCCAATAGGGTTCACCACGAGGATAACACTTTTTTGTGGACAGTCGCATTCAGGCTGCATGTTTTTTTTTTTTTTTTTTTAATAAAAAAAATATATCTTTGGAGCATAAGGCATTGATTACTTCCCAAAATAAGGGAAGGATTGACCTCCCCCATGTTTAGTAATGTGAAGGTAAGTGCACGATAGCGACATGGAAAAAGAAGAAAATCCAGCGGCCCAGCTCAGTTGATAAGGCACACAAGTGGCATTCAGGAGGTCTTGGGTTCATTCCCCATTGGCCTCATGTATCTCCCTGGGCAATCTCAGAGCCTGCCGCCTAGAGATAAGTCGTTGGTCCCCCTGAGTGGCATTGAGCAGGGACTGCTGATGTCCATAGGGGGAGGGGACTGGAGGGGAAGCACGGCAACTGGGCCATCGAAGAAGCTCGGTCCTGATGCTAGCTGCTGACCCCTGGCCAGTATCGCCCACCTGCAGGTCAGGTGCAGCCCCCTCATGTTCTGGCGTTTGAGGCTTAAGCTTGGGCTGGCTGATATGGGGTTTCCCGGAATACTATAATGATGATAAAAAGGGCCTGAAACAAAAGAACAAAAAAAAGAAGAAGAAAAAGAAAAATTACTTAAACCACCAGTACCTTGCTCAGCTATCGGCCGCGGGCCTTCCGTATACGCGTCGCAGCCTTAGGGGGGTTGGCCAAGGGAAGGCCCGGTCGTAGCGTGGATGCCGGGCCCCGCTTCTGTAGGGATGCCACAGTAGTGAAAAAAAAAAAAAAAAGAAAGAAGAAAAAAAATAAATAAATACACAAACGAAAAAACAACAACGGGAAAAACAGCTAAGTCACGCGTGCGCGCCCGCTCGCGCGCGCAAGAGAGAGAGAGAGAGAGTCTCGTTTCAGAAATACAAAATGGGAATGCATCCTCCCGCTATTGCGGGAAGATGCATTCCCGTTTGGTTTCTCGAAACGAGAGAGAGAGAGAGAGAGAGAGAGAGAGAGA